TGTAATTAATTTGATGTTTGAATAAATATTAGGTTAACATAGAACCCTACTTTTGAAGTTTTAATTTTCAATTCCATATTTTGACGTTAAAACACGTGTTAGATTCTGAATGATTGCTAGGAACTTAATATTTTTCAATTTAAATCAATTACATGTTTGACTAAAATTAATAATTCCACTTATATGAAATTTTAAAATAGTTTTTTTTTTTTTCATCAAAGTTAAAAATTATGAAGTTACAACTCATGACTCAATGTCAAAATATATAATTTGGTGGGAATTACAATCAATTTTTTAGTATATTTTGATAAAATGTGTGATTAAAAAGTTGTGAATCTCATAAACTATGTGGTTAAAATTAATTGTTGAATTTAACTTATATTAAAATTTAGATTTTAATCCCTTCTAAATAGGGGTTATACTCGGAAAAATTAAATTAGAAATAGAAAGATTTTAATCCTTACCAAATAATTAGCCCCTGTTTGGTACACATTTTTTCAAAACTTATTTTCAACCATATGTTTCTCAATAAAATAATATTTTTTATTACATCAATAACTTTTTCTTTCTTTTTAACTGCATATTTCTCATTATATTACTGTTTAAAATACATTATTTCCTCAATAATATCTATCCAATACACCCCTACTGTAGCCTGGAGAGACAACTTACCTAGAGCCTGTTTGGTATGGATTTTGATTTTCTACAGTAAATCAATTTTCATTTTCAACCTCACATTCTTCAATAAAATAATATTTTCTATCACATCAATAATTTTTTCTTCTTTTTCGACCACATATTTCCCATCATATCACTATTCAAAAATCAATTCTTCCCCCAAAAATCCCTACCAAACACACTCCTATTATAAAACTGTTTTCTAATTTGCTTATAATTAAGCCACCCACGTTGAGTCCCATTTTTCACAAAAAAAAAGAAGGGATTTTTGTAATAGTGATTTTTAGAAAATGTGTGGTTAACGAGCAGAGAAAAATGTTAAAGTTACGTGCAAATTATTTTAACGGGGATGTAAAAAAATAATTTTTTAGATATTAGGAGGTACTATGACGTCACGCTCGTAGAAGGCCTGCCTCGTGGGTTTGTTTATGAGAACTTTGAGGCTGATTTGAATAGTGATTGGTGAGTCGTCTCTTGTAAAATGTTCGTACAATGCCTTGACAAAAGGACCGCCGAACAGTAACGGTATTATACTATTCCAAGGCTGGCAGCAATGTCATTGTCTTTCGTTGGTTTTGATTGATTGGGAAATCTTCGTTAATGGATTTTGGTGGATAATGTATCCTTTTGCTTTCTTGGGACGGCTGGCGGATTTTTCTTTGCATCTTTTTTTTGATGCATCGATTTTTCAGTCAAACAGGCGGCCTATGCATTAGCAAAAGCTGCATGAAAATCAATTAATTTATTCGTTAATGGAAGCTAGGAAGAACCAAATCTCTTGGCCAGCTGCTCCAACTATGATGCTTTAGACTGAGTTTCGAATTCAAGCATGGTGAAAACACCAAATCATATATGGTGGTTTCAGTGTCTTACTCATATCTATTTGTAAGCTCTGCTGGAAAGAAAGTTCGGTGGTACAATGGAGGCCAGTGCAGGCTTAATAGCTGGTTCTCACAACCGGAACGAACTTGTTATGATCCGTCGTGATGGAGAGTTCTTGGTAAGTATTCAAATAATTACTACTTGGATCTGACTTTAGAGGACCCAAATTCTCTCAAACAAGATACATGTTATTTCCTCACTCTGATGCTGCTTTCAGCGAAAGCCGCCAGAGCAGTTAATCCGGAAAATATGCCAGATATGTGGAGATGAAGTTGGATTGACAGTGGATGGAGAACTGTTTGTGGCTTGCAATGAATGCGCCTTCCCCATTTGTAGGACTTGCTATGAGTACGAGCGTCGTGAAGGAAGCCAGGTATGCCCTCAGTGCAAAACCAGGTTCAAACGTCTCAAAGGTTGTGCTAGGGTCGATGGGGATGAAGAAGAGGATGACATTGATGATCTCGAGAATGAGTTCAAGCAGCAGGATTTCGCGCTTGTGCCTGTAGGACTTGTTCATGATGCCTTGCCTTCTCAAGTCCTCCTTCTCACTGATGGTAGCACGGTAGCCTCTCTTTCTCCCCTTCCTTTTTGAATTTTTGTGAAAGCATCTGAATTCACCAACAATGGGTAGTTCCAGGTTGATGATACCCCACTTGAACGACATGCTCTGGTCCCTACATATGGTGGTGTTGGTAAAAGAGTTCATCCTCATTCTTCGACTAATTACTGCCTTCCAGTTCCAGGTATCAATCTGTCTCCAGATTAATTCTAGACAATCACGCTATTGCTTATCTGTTCATGAAGAAAAAAATCTTGTCTACATCAAATCTTCTTCTGCAGTTCAACCTAGACCGTTGGACCCTTCGAAGGATTTAGCAGTGTATGGCTATGGTAGTGTAGCCTGGAAAGAGAGGATGGAGAATTGGAAACGAAAGCAAGAGAGAATAAATGCCAGGCATGAAAATGGAGGCGAAGATTCTGATGATGATGGAGAAGGACCAGATCTATCCTTGTAAGGACCTGAGGAACATTATTTGTGGCATTTATAGTACCAAAGCCTCTAGTTTCTAATTTGCTTATAAGTAACTCAAGTGTAGAAATGTTGTAGAAGGATATAACCTTGTTAAATATATACTAACATTATTAAGTCCTTAAATTTAAGCAACATTAGCTAATTTATTTTGGACATTAATCCTCTCTGGCTTACACAAATTCTCAGGGTGGAAAGAAGTGGGAATTGTGGTCTTAATTTCTTGATAAATGAATCAAATGAATATTTCCCGACGCCAATCTTCGTCCTTGGTTATATAAGGGTGTGTTTAATTTGTGAAAGCAAAGAAACTCGGGCTAGAGCTGGAGAGAAGCGTTAATATAAGAATAGCATGAGGCTTCTTGTTGAAAATTTTGATATCTACTGATATAGGACTGCCTACATATAACAGTATGGAACTTAGTAAAATTAAGTTATTTTAAGCAAAAGTTGAGAGAAATAGCTGGGTTAATTTGTTTAGATTTCATTTAAATGAAGATATTTGTTTTCCTTTTGACATTCAATACCTGCTGATATAGGACTAAGAAAGTTGGTTCATTTTCAAGCACCGGGGATTGAGCTTAGTTAGTTTGTTTGTTTGTTTGGTGTTAATCAAATACTTGAACTGACTTTGTATGTTTTTTGTGCTTGTGACCAGGATGGATGAGGCTAGACAGCCACTATCAAGAAAAGTACCTATTCCATCAAGTCAAATCAACCCTTATCGAATGATAATTATTATCCGTCTTGTAGTTCTTGGATTCTTCTTCCATTATCGCATCACTCATCCTGTGAATGAGGCATATGCACTGTGGTTTGTATCAATTATATGTGAAATTTGGTTTGCAATTTCATGGATTCTTGATCAGTTCCCAAAATGGCACCCAATTGATAGGGAAACCCACCTGGATAGATTGTCCTTAAGGTTTATAGTCATCCTCTCTTCCAACATTTTCATATTTTAAATTATCTGTAATCTTGATTACTATGATATTCAGGTACGAAAAGGAAGGTCAACCTTCTGAGCTTTCACCAATTGATATATTTGTGAGTACAGTAGATCCCTTGAAAGAACCCCCTTTAGTTACCGCAAACACAGTGCTGTCAATTCTTGCAGTCGACTATCCTGTAGACAAGGTGTCCTGCTACGTGTCTGATGATGGAGCTGCCATGTTGACGTTCGAAGCCTTGTCAGAAACATCGGAGTTTGCACGGAAATGGGTACCTTTTTGCAAGAAATTTAATATTGAGCCCAGGGCACCTGAGTGGTATTTTGCTCAAAAGATGGATTATCTCAAGGACAAGGTGTTACCTTCATTTGTGAAGGAGCGACGAGCTATGAAGGTAGGATAATTTACTATATGGTAGACGTGACAAGTGGATTTAAAATTTGAATTAAAAGGGATGGATTATAGTCCAATGGAACCAAATTTTTCGGCTTCATTTGTTTTCTAGTGATCATGTTCATGCTGTTGATGTCTTTGTAGAGAGAGTATGAAGAGTTCAAAGTTCATATTAATTCTTTGGTTGCTAAAGCACAAAACGTTCCAGAAGAAGGGTGGACAATGCAGGATGGGACCCCTTGGCCGGGAAATAACGTCCGAGATCATCCTGGAATGATTCAGGTACTTGTATATATGAAATTTCCTGCTATTAGATACCTGACTTTGTATATTTGGAAGTAAGGAGCTTTTCTGATCTTTCTTAGGTATTTCTAGGCCAAAACGCAGGACAAGACACTGATGGAAATGAATTGCCACATTTGGTATATGTCTCCAGGGAAAAAAGACCTGGTTTTAATCACCACAAAAAGGCTGGTGCAATGAATGCACTGGTAAGTGCACTGTGAAGAATGTTTTTGCTAGACTTATCAACTTTGTGGGAAGATTTGGTGAGAGTACTAAAATAATTGAGTTTTTCCTTTATTTGACTCATTGTCTTTGCCTTCATGAAGCCTAACCACACATATCTTTATCTTAATTTTGTTTTGTGCTTCTATTTTCATTTTTGCTTTATCTATTGCATTGGCTCTTTTCTTCTTTTTCCTTTTAATAGTCATATAAGATAGATAACTAGTGGGTTGCTTTTTGAGCAGGTTCGTGTCTCTGCTATTCTCACTAATGCTCCTTATATGTTGAATTTGGATTGTGATCACTACATCAATAATAGCAAGGCTCTCAGGGAAGCAATGTGCTTTATGATGGATCCTTTGTTACGGAAAAAGGATTGCTTTGTACAGTTTCCCCAGAGGTTTGATGGAATTGACAGGAGTGATAGATATGCTAACCGGAACACTGTGTTCTTTGATGTAAGCGTGCACTTCTTTAATGTGTTTGAAGGCACCTATTTTGGTTTGCCTCTTCATTCTTGTTTTTGGGATTTTTTTTCCCGAGCATCTAATTTTCATAAGGTTGAACTCGCCAGATTAACATGAAAGGCCTGGATGGGATACAAGGGCCTATCTATGTTGGGACAGGCAGTGTGTTTAGGAGACGAGCATTTTATGGTTATGATGCCCCGAAGTCAAAGAAGGCTCCTGGAAGAACCTGCAATTGCTTTCCTAGGTGGTGTTTTTGTTGTTCTGAAAGGAAGAAAAAGAAAGCTAAAATGGCTACTTCTGAGAAGAAAAAGAAGGATTCAATAGACAATGTGAAGACACATACACCTACTTTGGAGGAAATTGAAGAGTCCATTGAAGGTTAGTCTCGTACATGTAATAATTCTGTGAATGCCATTCATTTTCTTCTTTGCTTCAGCAGGATCATTCAGTAACTGGAAGCATATCAAATATTTGCTTATTGTTACTATAAACTACGTCACACGTTAGATTATATTGCAATATTAACCAACACCTTATGGAGATAGAGGAAGAGAAATATGAGGATTTCTTTGACTAAAAAAGAAAGAAATTTGTAGTGATGGAAAACGAGAAATCATATTTAACTGCTCAAATAGCGAGCATCTCAGCAGGTGATCTACTTGCCTATATGACCAGTTTTTATATTTTTTTTTTCTTGTGTAGCATAAAAAAAAAATAAAGAACAGTTGAAGCAATATGTTGAAACAATACCATAGATTATATCCTGTACGGCAAAGTTGTTGTTACCACGTTCAATGGACATCCTAGAGAGCCCCTGTGGATCGGAGGTGTTGAGGATCAAACCCATACTTCATAGAGGTGGACCGTAATTAAACGGAAAGTGAGGTTGTAAAGAAGTTCATGAAGCCTTATAGTAACACGAACCCCACTGAAAAATGATAATAATCCATGAGACAACTAAAGGGTGAAAACTCACTTGGAACATTGCTCTGTCGAGTTTACTAGTTGAATGGGCAATTGTTGACAGAAAATTATCCGCTGTAAGTAATTTTTGCATTTTATACTTGTAGTAAATCTTAAGCGTGTGTACTTTTAATGTTTATGTCTGCAAAATGATCAGAATTATCAAGACTATCGACTTTGTTTCTGTAACATCATTTTTCAAAATTTCGATTTATCTCATCGTTATTTTGCAGCAAGCGAGAGTGAGAAAACACCTATGCTTCCTGAGAAAAAACTAAAGAACAAATTCGGTCAATCTTCTGCTTTTGTTGCCTCAACACTAATTGAAGATGGTGGAATCCTTAAAAATGCTAGCCCTGCCTCTTTGTTGAAGGAAGCCATTCATGTGATTAGCTGTGGATATGAAGACAAGACAGACTGGGGAAAAGAGGTAGCATTAATAATTCTTTTGTTTTGTTATTTTATATTTGCATAGCAGAATCTTAATGTTCTTACATTTCATCTTGAAGAACTTTGTAATTTTTTTATAAAAATTAACGTTTAGTGTTAACTTTACATCATAAACCAAAGTGGTGGATATGTACGGAAAAAGTTTGGTATGCTCTAGTCATATAAGACTACACAAGGTGGATTATTGCCTTAATTCATCCTTGAATTAATGTAATAACAGTCCTTTTCGCCATTCATTCTGCAAACTGTTGTTGTTTATCAGTTCACTGTATCTAGGTTGGGTGGATCTATGGTTCTGTTACAGAAGACATTTTAACTGGTTTTAAAATGCACTGCCATGGATGGCGATCTATATATTGCGTTCCCTCAAGGCCAGCGTTCAAAGGTTCTGCACCAATAAATCTATCAGACCGACTGAATCAAGTACTTCGTTGGGCACTTGGTTCTGTTGAAATTTTTCTAAGCAGGCATTGCCCGCTCTGGTACGGGTATGGAGGAGGTTTGAAATGGTTGGAGCGTTTGTCCTACATTAACGCAACAATATATCCATTGACATCAATTCCTCTGGTGGCTTACTGCACCTTGCCTGCTGTATGCTTATTAACGGGACACTTTATAATTCCTGAGGTAAACTCTTCCGTTGAACAAAATTCGTATTTTGTATATGTGACATCAATTTGAATTATTTGCTTTTGCAGCTTAGCAATTCTGCTAGTTTGTGGTTTTTGTCCCTCTTTATCTGTATATTTTCGACTAGTGTCCTGGAAATGAGATGGAGTGGTGTTGGCATCGAGGATTGGTGGAGGAACGAGCAATTTTGGGTCATCGGAGGTGTTTCAGCACATCTTTTTGCAGTCTTTCAGGGACTATTGAAAGTACTAGCTGGTGTGGACACGAACTTCACTGTCACTTCAAAAGCAGGAGACGATGAAGAGTTCTCGGACTTGAACTCATTCAGGTGGACGACATTGCTCATTCCTCCAACTACACTTCTGATACTAAACCTGATTGGAGTAATTGCTGGAATTTCAAATGCAATTAACAATGGATACCAGTCTTGGGGACCTTTGGTGGGTAAACTCTTTTTTGCCTTCTGGGTTATAGTGCATTTGTATCCTTTCCTCAAGGGTCTACTCGGACGCCAGAGCCGGGCACCTACAATCATCATTGTCTGGTCAATACTACTGGCTTCGATACTCTCCCTTATGTGGGTTCGAGTAGATCCATTCTTGGCCAAGTCGGATGAGCCTGTACTGGAAGAATGTGGGTTGGACTGTAACTAGTCGCACTGTTCATTTGTGTCTGGACATGAATTATTACTGAATTTGAAGCAAAGATTCCAGTCGATTTTGAGTATCGAGGTAAATGACCCTTCGAAGAGTTTTCTCAATCGAGTTTGTCGTGTGCAGTTAAAAGGTATAGTTTGTGCTTGAGTGCTCGCTGCACAAATAATGGTTACTGTCTATTGGCAATTAAGAGAACACTGCATCCATTTGATTTTTTGTGTTATGATGTGCAGAAATAGGAATTGATAATTATAGATTCAAATTTTATTATATGATTGATTGTAGAGAGCGAAGAGAAGGTCCGAAGGATTTGTAGATGTGAAAGGAGATTATTGTAAAACAGCATACCATTAACGTGTTTAGTGTTCACAAAAATATCTTTTGAAATAAAATCACTGCAAATGTACATTTCGTTGACAAATAATAAAGTGAATTTTGAGTCCAAATATCGCCTCATAGAGATTGATTTAATTCAAATTTAATTATCACAACCTTAACCGAAACAAGAATAATATGATATATTTGTTTATGACAAAATTATGATTAAAATAATTTACTTATGCAATTATGAGTAAATTAGCTAAACGAAATGCTAATTATGTTAAATGCAAATTGACGTGTTTAATAAATGACAAATGCACTGAGATCTCAAATTCCCATACAATAATCATTTTTAACCTTAGTTCTACACTTTAACAATACGATTGAATTTTGACGAATCAATGTTCCTATTTTATTTAACAGTCTCTCTCGAGTAATGTTAAATATATTCTCGTATATGCCCCACCTATATTTTTATGATGGATGCAAATATTCAAAAATGCATGAATTTTTATGAACATTTGAAAATTCACATAGATTATAGTGATATATTTCTATCCCCCATCTGACCTTATGATAATTTACACCATGTAGAACTTATTTTCCTTCTTTTGAGTACATAAAATAAGCTACCAAATTCATACAATTGCCGTGCACAATAATTATAGAAAAAGATAATCATGTAAATCATTCGAAATTCAAAGACGTGTTTTCAATGTCAAATATGTAAAACTAATGATTAAAAATTCATATTACAATATTCATCGTTAACAAGTAATAAAGTGGATTTTAAGTCCAAATATCGCCCCACAGAGATTGATTTAATTCAATTTTAATGATCACAACCTTAACCGAAACAAGAATAATATGATATATTTGTTTATGACAAAATTATGATTAAAATAATCTACTTATGCAATTATGAAGAATTAGCTAAACGAAATGCTAATTATGTTAATGCAAATTGACGTGTTTAATAAATGACAAATGCACTAACATTCTCCACAAACGGAAGTTTCCTTGTTGAAGTTGAATTACGAAGAAAACACAATTTTTCAGTTGAATTGGCCTGGTGCCCGCCCAATAGTAACTGGGACGGTTGCTGAGACATACCAAGTAGCCATTGTAATTAAGGTTAAGGGCCGGGCAACTGTGCAACCTATATATAACTGGGCTGCTATCCAATTTTAAAAACTTTTCGAATTTTCCTTTTAGCCATTTTCTTCACTTTTTCTTCCATCTTAGTCCTCCACATTAAATTACTTTGATATTAGTACTTTAACTTTTACTCAAATGCATATTAATCCCCAAACTTCCATTCATTGGCCAATTGATCATTCTTTCTTTTCCAATTGCTTAGAACGAGTTCAAAACTGAAATAAGATAAAATTAAGCCAAGTTAAATAAAATTCAATATTAAAACGACACAAAAGATTAGTAATATGGCCCGTATAAATGCACAAAATTGCACTTATCATTTATAAATGTTGAACTAGAATGTAAAGGTCGAAATTATATACAAGAAAAGAACTGTTATATACTAAACATATCGTAGTGTCTTTATATGTGCTGTAATAACTCTATGAGAACGTATTACTCATGTAGACTTTTGCTTAGATTCATGTATTATCCAGAATGCACATCTAGCCACTATTACATATTTCAATTGCCCCCATAGAATGCTACGCTGGAGAATGTTAATATGCAATTATTTTGGTGGTGTTGTAAATTATATATTTATTAG